ATTTTTCAAAGTTTACATATATAAATCTGAAAAGAATTAAGAAGACGTGTATCGATAATGTTGCTTCAATTATTATATTAAATGCCATAAAAACTTCGAATGTGGATTTATAATTTTCATCGAAATAAGCTTATATATATTTTGTTTTTAATACCTGTTAATTTAAAACCGAACTAGAATTAATTTACATTTCTATTAACAGAGAATATTCCTTCTACATTTTTTATTGCTTAAAAATAAGTAACGCAGATTAAAAATTTTTCTGCATTATCCTTTAAATTTATATATATTTTTTTACAGAAATATATTGAGGATTTTTTAACAGCAGTATTCACAAATAAAATTAGTAAATTCGAAATATATATATATATCTTTGTTGACCGACCAAAATTTAAAGCGATGCGGTAATTATAATTCATATTGATATCACCTCATTCTCTGAAATGGTTCAATAACCTCGCCCTATATTTCATAAATATTTTATTCTTATTTTCGATTCTTTAATTTAGAAAGTATAGAGTTCATACAAAATGTAACGCTCAGTTTGTGCTATTTCCCATGGGAAATTTAGGTTGGTTGAAAAAGTTTGTTGATGCTTAGTGGGACAAAAGGGAATATTACCTTATAGTATATTTTGCAGCGAATCATATGATATATAACTCACTTTGTCAATAATTTTGCTATGACCTTGATAAAATAAAATATCCATTTAGGATATTTCGGATATTCTACTGTCGTTAATGTCTTAACTTTATATTTTATATAATAATTTATAGGAGGGAGAAACGATTATCCAAAACTTTAAAATCAATATGGTAACATATTTATATGGAAGATAAGTAATAGGAAAAGATAGAGGCCAATTTTTTAGTAAGTAATTCATTGAATGTCAGCAAGTTGGTCTTAGATCGAAGTTTCGTCTTTCTCATACTATTAGAAAATTATTTATGCTTTATTATTTAATGAAATAATGAGCTATTTTAAGAAACTATTAACCATAAACGGTGAAGAAATGGCTAAATAATCATTTATGTAAAAGCAAACGATCTAATTGCTAGTTATTATAAAATTATAATTAGAATTAATAAAGAATTCTTCAACTTTTCTTTTTTTAAAGATTATTCAATATGCAACGGAAAAAAATAATAGGTATTATGCTATCAGGATAAACTTAACTTGTTGAAATAATAATTCAAGGAATATAAATTACAATTTTTATAATATTTAAAATTATTGAACTTTTTTGTGGAATTTCAATTAGATTGAGCGGTTAGATTTCCGATATGTAACGCTCCAGTAAAGTCGGCTGGAGTCGACTAATTGAAATGTTTTTGCATACAAATTAAAATATCTCAAAAACTAAAAATCGGACATGCATATTGTTAACAAAAGAAATGTTCATAATTTCATCTTCTTTGTTATTATTAGCTATTATTAAAAATGTGTTTCAGCGTTGATATAAAGTGGCACTTCCGGTTAGCCGATTTTGAGGAAAAAGTTGCTGTCACATCTAAGGCATATACCTATCTTAAATACGTAATATCAGTTTCGTACGTTTTTGAGCTAGACTGCAAACACACAGACACACAGACCATTTTTCGGGACTTAGTTATTTCGACTCAGGGTACCTCAAAACGTGTATTTCCGTTGAAAACTCAGATTCAAAAATTTTCTCGATCGCAATACTTACCCTTACTATATATTACATATATACGTAAGTGAAAGTAAAAGTTTTATCTCAATGCAACGCTCTGTCAGAGAGTGTTGAAAACCAAATGATAACGAGTTTTATTGAAGATATGGATTAAAATATCTCAAACACAAATATCTAAATCGAAACTAAAATAAAAATCGAATTTTTCAGCATCTCATCCTCAACCATGATAGGCTATTATTTATAATTTATATTTCATTTTCATATTATTAATCTCGCCTTGTTGATGTCTCTTTTATCTTGTGGTCTGAACCACACATCTCAGTTTTTATTCATTTTTTTAAAGTTTTACACATAATGCATAAAAAACTTGCTTCATTTACTAATTAAAACTTAGTTTGTAAATTAGAATTAAATCACGACAAATGACAAAATATAGCCTTTACACTAGATGAGACACGTGTCTACTAGTTTATATTATCAACAACTTTATTCTTCAGAAAGACATAACTTGGACTAGCACTCGATTGAAGAATGTCTTTTGACCCAACCATAAAATGAAAACGAAGACCTTGTACAAAAGACTGAAGTAACTAACCCATTGATCAGAACTGAAAATTAGACAGAAACTATCTTAACCTTCTCCGATTTGCTGTTCCGTAAACAATGACGCACTCACAAAAACTACAATCCAAAATTTTAAAAACTAATAACTGAAACTCATTGGTACAAAACTGTACATTCGGAGGCTACCAACCATCGACCAATTCATTCGTATTGATTTGAAAGAAAGAAAGAAAGTAAATTTTATTCTGGGACATTTATTCCCCTCAGAATAACTAAAATGAAATGACAATTGTGAATAATTAAATGACAATTAAAAATAAATTAATTTACAAAGTTGTCTAACCTTAAAATTAAAACAAAGAAGCATGTAAATTTTCTTAATATTAAAAATAAAGACACTGTTGTAAACATATGATCTTGAAGTAGACATATGAATTTAAAGATGATTATATACAGGCGAGCTCACGTATTTGTACAAATACGTAATATGAAACATACATAGATATCTGCAAGATATCGGAATATTGTAACTGATATCTCTAAAGTACAAATTAACTTTATTTTACATATATTCGGAAGATTGATTATTCAGGAGGTGGAAAAATAAATTATATTTAAATGAGGTCAAGAATGAGGATTTCCGTAAAGAGGTTGGTAGGAAATTCTAAAAGAGGTCAAGAATGAGGATTTCCGTAAAGAGGTTGGTAGGAAATTCTAAAAGAGGTAGCACGTATGACGAAGGTTTTTTCAAAGGAAACAGTTCTATGAGAAAGAATAAACAAATTTGACGATTGGGTACTCGTGTTGAACGAATGAACAAAGGAACAAGGAGTAAAGAAATCAAGAAGGTAAGAAGGTTTTTTGGTTGTAAAGGTTCGGAAAAGGAATACACCTTGGAAATATTGGCGTCGGAAAACTGGATGGAGCCACTTCAACTCGGCATAGCAACTGGAGACGTGGGAGCGCCTGGGGACTCCAAGTATAAATCCAATGAAACAATTTATTGATTATTATTGATTTAATAATAAACTTCACGAACATAACAATAGACTGGTAAACGACATGGCTACAGCTACAGTACAATATGCCCTGCCTATCTTAACCTCTATGCCTATCTTAAAATCTTAACCTCTTTGCCTATCTTAAAATCTTAACCTCCTTGCCTTCATATTATGAAGTATTGATTGACCAGTCTCTGTAAGCAGTTCTTTAGTGACCTTTCTCTCCTCCATGTATTAGTACTCAGATGCTAGATAGCTACGGTTATCGTGCGGATTATCAAATATCTGAATACTTCTTTCATGGGTGCTGGTCTGTATTCAAGCCTCGTAGCCATTATTAGAGCAGCCTTTTTCATAGAATTTTACATACTTAATTTGAGAATTCTTGATACCTGATAATGGGATTTCAATACCATTGAAGAAGATCTATCTTTGCGCTTGTTATATGATTGCCTATTAACGACAATTGGTAACTCATATAAAATAATAATAATAATAAAAGTCTTAGCGAACCCAAAGATTCGATGATGACGTCACCAATCGCTGTATACACACCTCCCTCGTTCGTCGTACAAACCCAATCCTTCCAGATTCCGGCTTTCCACCTTTGCTTCGTCCTACCTTTCGAACTTTTACCAGTCGGTACAGCAAATATTAGCCTTTTAGGAATTCATTCGTTACTAAGTGCAACAACTTTACAAGGCCATTTAATTTGCCGCGATGTTTTCATCTCAATTACATTAACCGGATACAATTCACGCAATTCGGCGTTGTGTAACTGTCTGAACTCTCCGGTTAACTCATCCTTCTTCGGTCCGAATATTCTATGCAATACATTATTTTCAAAAACCTTAAGACGTTTCTCATTCCTAGATGTAGCAAGCTACCACGTTTCGCATCCATGAAGAACCGTAGGTAGGATAATAGTTTTGTTGGTTCTAATTTTGTAAGCACTGGGACAGGAGGAGCGAGCTAAGTAATTTTGTCACGGAAAAATAACAAGCATTTCTCTCCTTCAGCCTGACCTTAATCTCCTCTTCAATTTTGTATTTTCGTTTATTCGTATAAAATAACAATTGTTAATATATAATGATATGAAGAGATGGTGGTAAAAATTCTTTGGTTGAAGAGGTGTTCTAATTTTAAAATCCAGAGTAAAGGAAGTTTTCGACAAATCAATTTCAGAAACGCCTATTTATCATATAAACTACATATTTTATTGAAACCAACAGCTGAGGAATAATTTTACAAACAATCCTAAACAGAGATACCTTTGTTTTTCGTTCCATGTACTGAGTGAAACTAAGTGAAATCGATTCGAACATGGTCCAGCGGTGTGCTGGTGGGAGCAGTACTGCTCTCACTGCTTCAACAGTGTAGCCTGCCATGATATGCTACATCGCTTCAATATTGTATTATTAGAATATAAATATAATATAGCGAAAATTACATGTCTATTTAATATTGCAGAGTTGCCTGAGATCTGATATTAAAAGGTCAACATAGAGTTAGTTAGGCGATGAAGTATAAAGTTGTCATCAGTGCTTATTATCTCCAGCTTTAATAGGCTCTAAAAGTGATGTCAGACTTGTGGGTCAAATTTTCTACCTCCATGGGCATCAAAGTCGGTAGCACAGAGGTTAGGGGGATTTACACAGGTTATATATAAATTTGGTTCTCGTCTTCAAAAGATCAAATTTACTGTATATTCGTGAAATAAGCGAGGCATCATTCTCCAAACCAAGAAATGTATTTATCCGTGATGAAAATTCAAATTGATGCAGGTAACAGGTAATAAATACAAATAAATCACATTTACTCAAAAAAATATCCGTGAAACAGAATCTATACGTCTTATTTGATTCATTAATAATCGAAGCTGTATCTAAAAAAAAAAATGAATAGAAGCAATATAGAAAAAAAAACTCTGCTAAGTAAGGTCAGTACAGCTTCCACACCGTTTTCGATGTCTAAACAATATCTATATTTCAAGGTTCATAATTTTTTGTATGAGAATAAAATCCTCGGAAGAATCTGTTTTCGTAAATATAATAACCTCTCAACATTCAAGATTTTGTTATCCACAAATTTTGTTCACCAGCGAATATTAAAATGAGGATGAGTTCCACATTTCCAAATTATGAACTTGATGATTCGTGATTAAAAAAAAAATCCAAGTACATACTGTATATGCACATGGCTACTGTTAGTGAAAAAGATCGTAAGTAGGTAAGGGTGGAACTAAAAATCAGTAGGAAAAATTCAACCTTTTGCTTGTTCGGAGGTAAGGATATCAATACTTTTTTTCAGTCAGAAAAAATCTAATCAAGCTGGAATATAAAAACATACATGAAGTTCACACAACTTTGTTACTTGAGTCAAATCGAATGTGCGGTTTAAGAGATATAGACGTATCAAGAAAAACACGTTTGCTCATATACATTATATATATATATATATATATATATATATATACATATATACACATATATATATATATATATATATATATACATAATACATATATATATATACATATATATATGAGAAAGTTCTTGATGAAATTCAATAAAATTGACGCAACGTTAATTTTTCACCAATATCTACCTTATATCCAATTTTGAGCCAAATCGAACGAGTCGTTTCTGAAATATTGACATATCTAAACAAATGCGGTTGCGCATTCGTAAGCAGGGGTACTGGATGGAATTTTATAAAATTGATATGGAACCATCTAGACACTAATCCGTATAATCCCCAAAAATGTCATGAAAATTGGATGAAAGGTAGTAAGTGATATGCCCGTTATATCGATTTTACTACAGACAGACACTGAACCAAATTTGATCCTTGATGCCTCAAACGTAAAACGCAAGTGGAAGAAAAATTTCTGTGTACACAATTTTTTTTTAACCTCTCGCACAAATACAATGCCTCCCTACCTTCGGAAGTGAGGAAGCAAAATAATTCCACCGAAAATAAACCTATCTATGATATATAAATAAAAATATCTAATGGGCCCACTCACAGGACTTTCTTGCCATAATATCCAATACAATAATTGTTTGCTTTTTCATGGCTAATATTGATACGATTAATATTGGCTGTTTTTTCTCTCCCTCTGCAATATTCTCCGAGATGTATGGTTTTTGAATAATTAAAAAAACTGTCCACTTTTTATTTTACGAGGAAGCGTCGTATAGTGATGTTTTATTTTAGCTTATATGCTAAAATATATAATAATTACTTAGTAGAAAACGAGTAGTCAACCATTGCATAATTTTGTTCAAAATACTTTGTTATATTCATATTAAACTACAATAACAATTACTCGTAAATTGATACTTACATTAACTACATAGTTTCCAAGTTACAAGACTTAATAAGGTTTTTTTTTTTTTTTGTATACTTGAAAAACCCTTGGGTTATATCAGAAGGGTCCCTCCTATTATCTTAGGTTCATCCAGTTTTCCTTCTTTCTACTAAAGGAAATTAGTTCCTTGTTTTTCTTAGTTGGAAAAAAATGCAATAATAAGAAGGAAATATTAAAACAGTCGACTTAAATACGATACTCCATACACACATTTTAAGAAAAAAGAATAGTTTATGTACAAAATTATCAAATATATTTTTCTTATTATATATTATTCACTAATGCTTTGTAAATCTAATCTAAAGTAATAATATTTTCTAAACCAATCGAAAAATTATCAACTTTCATAAAATATTTAATACAGATTCCGTGAATTCTTGTATCTTAATAAAAAAAAACTTCCTGCGTTATTTTCTTGTTTTCTTCTCACTTACACCGAGGTTGAGAAGTATATGAGGGAAGGTCTGATAAATCTCAGATGAGATAAAACCCATTTTTTATTTCTTAGGTCTCATATCTCAGACTGACTTTTTTTTTTGGAAGGAATCCCTTGTGGTCAAGTTAGACTAATACATACATACATATGATTAATTCCATCCCTTTTAAAATTATTCATATACCCTCCTTATCCACTTTCAATTCCCTTCTATTCCAATTCCTATTCACAATAGAATCAGACGCTGGGTAACTAGATATCAAGTAATAATGGCTTTATTCCCAATAATCACGTGTTGCTGACGAATATGAACAAATATTCCATATAAAGTTTTAAAACTGTTTTCTGCTATACATATTAATAGTAAGAATGTCATGCTTTTTATGTCTTTTCATTTATTTATAGTACCTATCTAAACGTTTTTAAAATAATAGATGTATTTTATTTTCTTATTTTTTTTTTTTCCACGTTACGGACCACTTTTTTCAGATTATTAACTAACATCAATCTGAAACCCTGTGAATGACTTTATCTTATCTTTGGCTACTAATTTGTTTTTTACGAAAATTTTCGAAAATGGGTCGTTTTCTAAGTGGATATAGGTGTACTTTGTGTATTTAATGAGGTACTGAGGTAACTCATAACAACCAATTGCTTTCCACTTGAATTGAAAGATAATTTGATAAGAAATGTGGCCTACAAAAATATTGGGCCGTTCGGTTTGACCTTCACTCTCAATATGTCAAAATAATTAGATTAAATAGGCCAACCGGTCAAATATTTTTGTAGGCCACCTTTTTTTCTTGATTTTGCGGTTAAATTATCTTGCGATTTAAAGTAAATGGATATTCATGAGTTTTTTAAAAACTCATTGAATTAATTAATTTAATGAGAAAACGCTATTTCTGACAGCTTTCGGCAGGGGTGACCATCCCTCCCTCCCCCCAATGTCGATGGCGCAAGAACCTTTCTCTCCCTTCTCTTCTCACTCCCATATATTATATATTATTGCTCTTATTTTCATAAAAACAGAGCAACCAAAGGTAGAATTGGAAAAATCGTATATCATACACAGTTACACTTGCTGCGGTCTGTTTCATGTTTTCTCCTATTCCCTTAATATGAAACTTTTCATTCCGAAAATTTATAACCCTGTCAAAATGTGTCCCTCTCAAAAATTCAAAAACCCGTCAAAATATGCCCCTCTCAAAAAATTTTGATGGCTAAATAATAGATGAGCTAGGTTATTAGGTTATACCTTAAGACAATCCCTCTGACTTTCAACTCTATGTTTATGAATTTCAAATGGCTTTAGAAGCGTTATCGTAACAGCCTCTGTCTTAAAGTAATTTAAGCATTTTTTTCTTTCTTCTTAGAATTCGATTTTAGTTCCTTTGCTCTACGATATCCGAGCGAATGGCTGAAACTGTTATAATAGATTTTATTTTATTGTTTTGCTAAAATTGTCATAAATTATGCTAATAGATTTTGGATCTGAGAAATCGTATTTTGTTCCGACCCAAAAATATCCTATTATGATATTTCTTGACGGTAATTTTTTGTTGATGAAGATTCTGTACCTATCAGGCCACCACAGAGAGGTGGTAGAAATGTCCATTTCTGTTGCAATCTAAAATGAACATCGGGCAATAAATCGAACTTTTATTGTATTTTTTTTTCTCTTTTATGCAGGTTAGAGAAAATCTCTCTGGACATTTTTATTTGGATATAGCTGCAAGTCTAGAATGATCGTCTTTTTAAGTCTCTAAATGCTTACAACTATTAAGAAAAATATGAAATTATTGTTTAGGATACTGTGTGTGATGGATAAATATTTTTTAAAAATCTAGTATTTTTTTAAATATCAATAAACTGAGATAAATATTATAACTCGAAGCACGTCAAATCTCGACAATCAACAGAGCTCAAGTAATTAATCAATGAATCTCCTGTTGCTAAATGTCTTTAATTACCAATTATTTTAAAATTACCAACTGTCTACATTGTTTTTAATGCGATCCTTAACTTTCAGCTATAGTGCGTCAAATTTTACTTAAGTTATTTTTAATTTTAAGATCTTTATATCCTTTATTATTCTCTAATGTATAAAAGGGGAAAAAGAATTGATTTAAGAATCTCTGAAGAAAAATTTGAAAATATCAATAAGATTACTGAAATTCCTAATCGATGTTTCTTTTTTAAGAACATCCAGACCTCGCTATGATTTATATTACCATCTTCATAAGCACGGAGAAGTGCAAGCATTCTCGAATTAAAAAAATAGCCAATACCAAAATATTTTTTCTAACAACGTCCAGCAATAGCGGATCCAGGATTTAATTTTTTGTTTTTTTGGGAGGGGGAGAGGAGGGAGCTTCAACAAGGAAGATTTTTTTTTCATGTACATCTAACGATAATTAATTTGAAAAAAAGAAAGAAATTAACAACCTACATGAAATGGTGTTTAAGTGGTTCTTGAAGTCCTGTTAAATATAATTATACGAATAAGAATACTTTAAGAGATAGTTTTTAATATTTGTTTCTGTAACATGGTTATATTTTACCATTTCGGCGGGGGGGGAGGGGAAAGCCCTCCCCTCCCCCTCCCCCTTCCGTAGATCCGCCTGTGGAATCCAAGCTAACATATCAGAATTTAAGGCAAACATAGTTTTACGTCATGATTACGTCATGATTGCTCTTGGGTAGTTAATGAATTGGGAGACATTACCTACAATAAAATCCTTTAAATACACATGTATATTTTTCTGGTCTTGGGAAATCTGGTTATAAGATATTACGATAGTAGTAGAATGTAAATCCTAATATTTTTACGAAGCATGATATATGTATTAAGAAAAAGTATTGCGATCGTGAAAAATTCTCCAGTTTTTAACAGAAATACATATTTTGAGGCATTATGAGTTCAAAAAACTAAATTAAGTGTATTTGTGTGAAAAGGAAATGTACAAAATTAAAATAACTTATTTAAGGTAGACATAGGCCTGGGATGTTACAGCAACTTTTTCGTTAAAAGTGAATGACTTGAAGTCGAACAACTATTCAAAAATATTGAACTATTTACCTTTAGGAGATATTATCCATTTATGATAGGAAATCCTTGTTTTCATATTCCTTTACTGTCCAATTGAAAAAAAATCACTTCCTTAATTATTTCTTATTGAATTCTTACTTAATCCTCAACAGAAATATAAATAATAATTAAAAGAAGGAGATGGTCCGGGGTGGCGGTCATAAATAGGCTAAATAGTGGCAAAACTATTTTATTAAAAGCCAACGTTTCGACCCAACTTTGCAGGTCTTCTTCAGGGAGGTGTGTTCAGCTAGGACAGCTTAGAACTGGCTAAGTGAAAGCCAGCTTGTGTTCTAAGTGAAACTCCTAGCTGAACACACCTCCCTGAAGAAGACCTGCAAAGTAGGGTCGAAACATTGGCTTTTAATAAAATAGTTTTGCCACTGTTTAGCCTAATTATGACTGCCACCCTGGACCTTCCTTTATAATGCAACGATCAACTATTAAATATTCAATATCACTCAAAAACCACGGGGCCAACAAAGGCCAGATACAAATAAATAATAATTATTAAGCTTTGTAGTCACTCCATGTATAAAGTTCAAGCTAAGCAAGTACCGCTGATTTATTTCATTTTTTTCTCAAGTACTTTTGCTTTTTATTTATCCACAAAATATACTTTTCTTTTCATGAAAATTTCTAGACATTGAATAAATATATCTATTACTTCTGTTTTATTTGTGGAATGTTACTTTTCTCTCCTCAGAAGATATGCATTTGAAAGTAACTTTTACTCTTTATTATTAAAAAAGATGCCCTGCTTTTTCAGCCATACTTTTATGATAATATTCCTTTTTTTTTTTCAGATTTCTGACTGGAGGTTCCCTTACAAGAGGTCTCACCACCCAGTTTGTCTCCACGGTGCTCGGGAACAACGGACGGCAGTACTTCAACATTGCGAAGAGGGTGCGGAACCAGGAACCGAGGTCCACCAGTACCTTCAAGCCACCAGCTGCCACTGCCATGTCTGCAGATCTTCAGAGGCCAGCTGCCAGGGCCTCAGGTATAGGCCTCGCCAGTAGTACAGCCTTGCAACGCAACATTAGGATACCACACGGCGTTTTAATATATCACATTACACCTGTACATTTTATTGCTTTTATTGAGAAGAGTTGTTTTGACAGTGTTTCATTTAATGACATTATAAACATAGAATCAAACGACAACTACAGAATGGAATGAAGAAATGAGGTTTCCGACATTTTTAAATAGAATCCTCAATAATCTACTAATGTTCTCATTAATATGCATATGATTTCTGTTTGCCAATAAGTTATTTAAAATGAAGACTTTTAATCAAAATCTATAGTCATATTCTTAAGAGTGAGAATATGACTGTAACACAGATGAAATAAAATAATTTATACTTAAATTATTAATTAATTCAATTATATTACACTTTCCCATTAAATTATGTTATTTATTTATTCTCAAATTTCAAGGGGCTCCTTAACAATGAACGATTTTGAGCAAAGAACTATTTCTATTAAAATATCTGAAAACCTTAACAGATTTGATTAATTGATATTGAAGTATTAAATTAAAAATTTTAAATTGATATAATTTGTATTTATTATTAAAAAAAAAAGCAAAAAGTAATCATACTTGATAAATTTTAAATTATGAAACTATTTATATTAATTGTCAATTTCAATTTATTAATACCATATTCATGAATTTAAATTGTTAATCTGGAAATTTTGTTATAAAATATTAAATAAAGAATAATTTAGAAAATGATTAATTAAGATATTTAAAAATTAGCATTCTAACAAAATTCTTATAAATTAAACTTTTAAAATTTTAAAAACTTTTAAAAAAACAAATATTTATCAGATCATAACATTATGTTGGGATCATTTAACAGAAAAAATAGCGATGATTCATATACCTACTCATATTCATATAATTTGGATGCGTTAAATCTTAAAATCCTTTGATAAACATAAAGATGGGAAAAACATGCCTAGAATCAATGTACATCATCAATTGCAATATAATCTATCCAATATAATATAATCGTTTATATTGTACAAATATTATTTTTAGTTAAACTAAGAACAATTTGATGTCCTTAATTTTTTAAAATACATATACGATTTTTAACAAAAGTGGTTTTTGTTCTCTGGGCTACCACATATTTTATCAAGTAATAGTTTTTGTAACGTACTAGTGTCTTAATCATTAAAACCTTCTTGAACCAGTCAATTTCTTTCTTAATATTACTTTTATACTTAATAAATAACCCATATCAATAATAATTTTACTAGATTCCATGTTACACAACAGTACTCAAATTATTAGATTGCAACTTATATTACAAGAAGCAAAGGTGCCCAGAAGAAGTTCTCATGGCGAAAGTTGTACCATCAAAATTTTTGAGAGAGGTATGTTTTGATAGGATTTTGAATTATTTAGGAGAGAGGGACACATTTTGACAGAGTTATGAATTTTCAGGAGAAACCATATTTTTTGGAGTTTTAAATTGGAGGAGCTTTCAAACCAGTGAAAATATGGAACGGACTATAGCAAGTGTAATTCTATATGATTAACAATTTTTCTAATTCTACTTTCTCTTGCATTGTTACAAAAGGAGGAGAATAATAACTTTTTTTAGGAAGAGGTAGGGAGGGAAGGTATGCACCATTTAACTTGGGGAGATGGGCACCCCTGACAAGAACCTGAACTAGGAAAATAAAATATATTTTAATTCTGCATACTTTATTTTTTAATTAAAAAATGATCATATTACAATCAGAGAAAATATTTTTTCCTGAACTAAATGAAGAATAAAATAAAATTAGAGGCAATCTGTTTTTTCTTTTTCTGACATTATTTAAAAAACAAGATTTGAAATTTCTTTTGAAAACAAAAATACATATAAGCTTGAAAGAGCTTACCTTATAAAGGTTTTGAAAACATTTTCTGAGTGTCATTGCAGATGAAAATATTTGTCTGTCTTCAAAAAATTCTTCAGAATCAACATCAACCTGAAATTATTAGATTCAGGCAATTAATATAACTAAATAAGTTATATTTTATAATAAGACAATGTATTGGATCCATTTCACTTATGTCAATATTTATTGCTTTAATTTGAAAAAATAGTTCAGGTTTGAGATGTGATTTCAGAACAACATTTTTAGATTGAATAAATATGAAGTGTAAAGAAATAAATGCACATTTAAACATTAATTGTTTTTTGGTAAAAACATATATTTTTTAAAAAACATCATTTTTTTAGAAGTTACGGTTATTTTCTTAATAATTACAAGAAAATTTTCAGGGGTCCTCTGATAAGAGAAGGAACAGATCTGATGATGGCTACAAGACTTAGTGCATGGGGCCATTTAGAAGACTGACGCTGCATGTTACCACCCATAGGCACCTTACCACGCTGTAGTAGTTCCCAGGCATGTTATTTCAATCCATCCTAAGAGCGATGCCTGTCCACAACCTTGTGTCCTTTATAGTGTTTGTCTATAACCACATCTTAAATTGTGTCATCAAATTATTAGATACGGCTTTACCTTTTTTCTTTTCTTTTATGCTATTACTATGAACTTATTCATTATTATCTATAACTATCTAGTTTACTTACAAATAGTACAAAGTTTTTTTAAAATATAATAAACAATTTTTGGTGCCCTGTAGTTTTAAATATGTATATTTGGGTTGAAAAGACTGATCTCTTAATCTGTTAGTTATTTAATTTTTTTTAATCTTAGAAACAACTAGAAAAGATAGCAGATGGTGGGTTTATGCACTAAGAGACTAAGGTATTAATAAAATGATTTTGACTGCATTCATGTAAAAGAGTAATATGAAAAAATATTTTATAAAACAAATGTTTGTATATCTTCCAGAAGAATGTTCCATATATGTACTTGGTGTTGCTTGAAAAAATATTATTAAATAGTTTTACAATATATAACAAATTGATTCATAACCCACAGTAATAAATAACATATTTTTATAGAACCTAATTTTATTTCTCTTAAAATACCCAAAATATAAGTGACAAATCAATCTCTCCAACTTATAAAAAAGATCAATACTTACAGACTAGGTATTGATCTTAAAAAAAGAGAAAATATACAGTCTATCATTTTTTAACTATTTGAATAATGTGTTTTTAAAAAGATTGAATGCCAAGTTCATCTGTTTTAAAATAAAATGCTAAATATTCATAGAACTTTTCAAATCTGAGAACAAAGAAACCCACCATCTGAACCTATTGATTGCCATATCTATTTTATAATTGGTAATTGGTTGACTGTCGTGGATAATGAAGAGAAGAATAGTTGGGTGCTCAGTCAAAAAGGAAGGCAAAAATAAATTATAATATTTATTTTTTACATCTGCCGACGTTTCGACCTGAAGTTCAGGCCATCATCAGGGCTAAGAAAATAACCAGATAACAAGGTATGAGAAACTTAAGTAATGATGGTAAAAAAGATAATAACAAAAAAAAGATGAGAAAATAAAATAGATTAGATCTAGATAAAATAGATCTAGATAAAATAAAAATAAAATAGATAGATATAAAGTAAAATAAAATTGTTAGAATATTTTATTTTCTTAGCCCTGATGATGGCCTGAACTTCAGGTCGAAACGTCGGCAGATGTAAAAAATAAATATTATAATTTATTTTTGCCTTCCTTTTTGACTGAGCACCCAACTATTCTTCTCTTCATATCTATTTTATTATATGCTTTTGCATGTGGTAGCTTATAAGGCATTTAGTTCTGAATCTTGACCTTGGGTAAAGCCTGGAATAACTTTATAAAAATCTAATCTTCATGTAAATCAATTTATGTATGCTAGGGAGATAAAAAAAATCGTTAATATGACAAAAATGATTTTAAAGTTGCTGTTATAAAGGAGTTCCCATTGTTAATCAAGTATCTAGAATTTAAATATTTTTTTTATATTAATACTATGTTTCTTCAATTTTGTTTGTTATTATTTAATAATGCTTTTACTGTATTTTGGTGGCCTAACCATAAGTACTAATATTTTCATTACATCATTTATCAATGTTTTGTAATATTGCCACAACGAAAAAAAGAGAAAAAATTGAAGTGTATGTAAATGTTTATTGTAAAGCACAGTATGTTATAAATTGTAAATTATTGAAGATATTGAAATAAAAATTTTATTTGAGTTATGCAGAATGTAATTTTATACAACCTTTCTTATATGTACAGAACCTTTTTTTTTTTTCTTGATTGAACATTGCAGTAAAAAATCACACTACAACTAATTATATTCAGTTGCCACAACTAAAAACAATACAAATTAATATTTCAATAATATAAAGCATGAGTCATTTGATATTCATGGTCCTTTGATCATTCAAGAGATCAAACAGACATCATAAGGATGGACTATTTCCAACAACTGCTGAATTCTAACAAATATTGAAGGTTTCTAAAATAATTTAAGTCCATTTCACTAAAATACTAAATACTAATGATCACTCACTTACATTAATAGTTGTAATGTGTTGCATTATGGTTTTAAAAATGCCAAAGATTTTTCAATATATAAGAACAAATCATCAAAATTTTTACATTTCTCTAATACAAATACAGTTTATGTTTCCTTGTATAAAATTGGTTTTATGAACTTACAATGGTTTAGATGTAAAACATTGATAGGGACTTTTTTTTTCTATTTTACAGTGGTGTTTGAAACAAAAAAAAAAGATATAGAATGAACCAAGTTTTTCAAAAAATCAAAATATTACTTGAAAATTGACTATAAAAGAAAAAAAAGTATAAATTATAGTTATTTCCGGAAAGACTAAAGCAAATCAGACAAATATAGAAACTAAAAATATATGAAATAGTGGTCTAGGAGGTCCTGAAATTATATTATTTCCATTTTTCGAGGAGGGTATCAGGTAATGGTACACTGTCAACTATTGGTGTTTTTACCCTAATTGTATTATCAAAAATCACCCCTTAGGTCCCAATTCCTAATTTATTTTTATTTTACATTAAATGTTTCAGCCTTTAGGCCATTAATTTAATAGACTCATAAATATAGACACTTGTCACATATTTATTGCCTATTACTGAAACCACTAACAAGGTAATTCTTACTTGTGAGTGGTG